CAAGGCCAACAGCAGAAGCCTAAAAGTGCATTCAGGTAGGGTTTGGGGTTTAGGGCACCTCCCGAGCCAACTGCGAAATGAGAGACCTCGTTTGACTGTGCCGAGTGCAAACACCCTGAGCCTAACACCGAAAAACGCTTCCCACGTCAGAAGCCCCCCAAACCCCATTAGCCTACATCCTTAGACCCCGGCTGAGCCCTGCAGCCCTAAATAAACCTTAGAACCGTAAATAAGCCCTACGACCCGATTCCTAAACCGTCCCTGAACCGGCCCCAAATAGTGAGTAAACCTTAAACCGCAAATGAGCTCTACGACCCGATTCCTGAACCGGCCCCAAATGGGAGTTTCCGAAACTAAGGGGTACCTCATTTTGGGGTCCTTATAATAAGGATCCTGCTATTTAGGGTACTGTATTAGGGTCCCCTATTTTCGAAAACCCCCGAATGGTGAGAGGCACAGACGGGCGCGAAGATCGACATCGACTACAACCGGGAGCCGCCACTTGCATTGTGACAGTTTAGGGTCTGCAGGGCTGGGCTTCGGAGTTACAGGCTAGACTTTAGGGTTTATAGCATTTTAGAGTAAAAGCGCTGGATTCCAAGAGTCCTTGTTGGCAAGCTGGACTTAGAGTTGAAGAATTTATAGTACAGGATTTCTAAGCTTTAGGTTTCAGATGGTTTTAGGGTTTCAGCGATTGGGGGGGAGAGGGGCCCTATCGGCGATTATGTTTCATCCAGTAAGTTGCCTTCGGGCAGTCAAGGTTTGGGGGTTGTTGAGACTACTGTTTTGGGTGGTGCAGTTGCCCTTGCGTTTGGGCTTATAATAAGATGACGTCTAAGGTTTCAGGACGTACCCGGAACTCAAATGCGCACCACTATGCAATGGAGACATAAGATATATATATATATACATACATACATACATATACATATATACATACATATATATATACACATATATGTGTATATGACTATGCATGTATGTGTACACGCAACAATCTGGCCCCTTTGATCGGCAGGACGCCTTGGTTTTTGGGTCTTTTTTTTTTGGGATGTGGGATCCCGATCAGGCTTCTGGGATGTTCGGAACTCGGGCGGGCTTGCCGTCCACTCGGCTTGGGGTTGAGAAGCCTCGGGGCAGAGGCATAGAAAGGGCCTGTGCAAGAGTCATTGAGGGTCGATGAGCCCCAGACCAGGTTGACTTAGGGTTGAAGGGAATGGGGTAGACAGGGGTAGGCTGCAATGGCAGTTTCAGTAGCAGGCAGAAGGTGCGACTTTGCATTTACTTGTCTATTTGTTGGTGGTCCTCGGCTTTAGTCTCCTTGGGTGGTGCTCGGGCTTTCAGTACTGAAGCAAGCTGCAAAATCTTGGACACAGCCATGCATCAAGCGCCATAGAATCTAAACTCGGAAGAAGCAATCGGCCCTGCTGTGAGGTGCAGGGTTTACCTTACGGGCAACCCCGACAACGTCCAGACGGCGAAGCAGCTGCTGACGTCCATTGCCAACGACACGCTCGGGGCGTAGCGGGGGTAGCTTTCCATGCCAGCATATTGTATATAGTAGATTACAGTACTAGGATACCCTAGTACATTTTAGCGGATTGACTGCCAGGCGTTCTTGCTTGCAAGCCTGCAGAAGAAAAAAGGGTCTAGGGGTTCAATGAGTCAGAGAAACTGTGAAAGACGTTGATAGAAAGCTTTGTCTTGGCTATGTGAGCGGCTGAGGGTTTAGGCCTATTAATGAGAGGGTGAATACCTGACAGCAATTACGGTGCAAAGCTTTTTGCCACCGAACAGAGACTGTGCACTTAATTATGTACCCTGTGCAGGTAGGTTCGGTGCACCATGAAGTCTAAAGCTGTGCTCCTGATGTGGGTTAGAAGCCTGAACATTTTGCAATACGATTCCTTTCGATACCAAAGAGCTCCCCAAACTCGATTCTGACTATTACGGCCCCAGAAGCTTGGCAAGAGAAGCTCCGACGCGTGGACAGATCGCAACGCTGCCTATACAACGGAGACCAGAAATGATCGACTCCGATATGGTGTAGGGCATTTTGATAGGGCTTTCGGGCTTTACGTTGGTTGTTAGGAGGCTGAGGGCTTGGGTATGAGAAACTTGTGGATTGGGATATAGGCTTGAGGCAGTATTTACCTTTAGTGTTAGCTTGTCGGGTTGGTTGGTACTCAGGCTTTCTGAGGTTAGGTTCGGGTTTAGGTCTTACGGGTTTAGGGTTTAGGTTCTATGGTGTTGATGATTTTGCGGTCTAGGATTTAGAGCACTGGGTGCCTACCACAGAGGCCCAACTGGGTTCTCGTCCTTTACCTGGTCGACTTCTGTGATTCATGTCCGTAGTATGACCGGAAGGAACATTCAGTAACAGCACTTTCCCCACTACAACTTCATACGTAAATAGTTCTAGTCCCATAGACCCCAAAATCTCATTCTAATTCGTCGGGTGCCGAGCAAGCACCAACCGCACCCTCCAATACCCTCGAATGAGGAGTATCTGTATCAGTTATACGTCAAAGTGACATACGGTGTAAGGGGCATATTCTTGGGCTCTCTGAGTACTTGCACACATACCGGTGTCAGGCAGGCGTTCGGACTGTAGGACTTAGGAAGGCGGGGCAGCGTGCATCTGTTGGTTTCGAGATCAGGCTTTTTCAGCCTTCACCATGCAATCTAAGATCGAACCCTAGACCTTACTTTACATAGCCCCAACTTTGACCTTAAACTCTTCAACCTCTGCAGTCATTTACTAGTGTTACTAGTGTGCCCCGCTTCTGCAAGGATGTCCCTGGTGTGATTATATTTGAGCCGCATCGTAAGTAGCTTCTGGCAGTTTGAGGTAAAACTCTAATCAACCGCGTAAACTCATAGGTAAGGACCAAGAAACAGCCCTGGCATACCTGTATGAGCTGCATACCCCGTGAAAAAAGTTCTGGCATTGAAGAAGAGCCTTCGTTCTGGTCTCCTCATCACCTGCGAAGCCCTCATGGTCCTAGATCAAGCACGGAGGCGACGAAAAGCGCGTGCAGGCAACTGTTCTCCTTAACTCGGGAGGCGTTCAGAACTAAACTCGGGTTTTGGTATGTATCTGCGTGCTTCAAGGGCATTCTCTGGTTTTGGGATCCTGTCGGGATCATTAACCTTGCCGTCCCACGTAAGCATTCATCAAGATCATCGAGGTGATGAATTTATTCACGGGCGCGGGGATGATGAGGCAGGCACGCTGGGTGTGATCAAGAAGAAACGGATGATAACACACGGGTGTCAGTGGGTCTGGTAATGATGATGGTGGTGGCGGCGATGGTTCCGGGGAAGATGTTGACAATGAGGACAGCATGAACATGTAAGAGCCAACCGTGTCACCAGCAGTCCTTAAAATTGAAATAGCAATTCGGACGCAGGACCTTTTGTGGTCACCTAACTTTCAGATGGGACCCTTGCAATCAAGCAGGTTTCACACATTGGTAGCAGTATCCAGGGTCTCGGTGTTTGCCCGCACCCCAGTCCACGCAGCAGGCTTCGCTCTTCCTGGCAGACTTGCCTCCCGTGCGTGCCAAAGCCGCCGGGCGTGCGGAGGAGCCTGGCCAACATAAAGACGACGATGAGTTTAACCGTCGCTGCTTCCGGCATCGTCATGGTAGGTCATGGTCATAAAGATCGCCAGCGGCACCAGCACTGTCATAATCATCTTGCTCTTCTTTACAATCACCAGAATCGTCCATGCTGACATTATGGTCATCATGATCATCCTCCTTGTCCCCATCACGACAACGCACCGACAACTTGAACGAGCATGATCGCACACTGCTGCAATCAATATCGGGAAACCGCCATGTATCGCTTCCAATATACCCGAATCCGATATACGTGAGCTCAGTGAATATAGGCAGGTAACAAAAGGGGACCTTCGTGCAGCTTGTAAAAACTAGTTTGGATTCGCCTCATCATAGCAACTCAGGCTTCGTAAGGTGCTTCATGTTCGGCTCCTTCTTCCCAGGGATTTGCAACAAGTCGTGCTTTTGCATAGGTTCCAAGACGCGAAGAGTATTTCTAACCCGTAAACTGCCGTAAACTATCCGCAAAACCTAGATCCTAAACCGTAAGCCCGAAGCCGGGCGAGGCCCGGAAGCCAGGAAGAGTATGGCCGAACGCCTTGGCGCCAGGAGATTGAAAAGTCTGAGCCGGACTCTTCGACTCTGCCAACCGGCTGCAGCTTCGGGGAAGCGGAGCTTCTTTCATTAGAGTTTGTTTGTATGGGTTGCACACTGGCCCCTCTAGTGTAATTATAGAGCTATAGGCTATAGAGCTCTATGTAGAATCATGTTGTTGTGGATGGGTTAAAGGTTTTGAATATTGTTTGTGTTTTAGGAGGGTGTTCTGAGATTTCACGGGGGTACATCATGCGGGCTACCTCAACTCATCGTAGCCATGATTGCGCTGGCGTTCCTAAGGTAAGCCCTGATCGAGAGTTGGGGCTTGCAGTGGGGGTTTGTAGCAGTTCATGGTTCACCTAAACCCAAAACCCAAAACCCTAAACCCAAAACCCTAAACCCTATAAGCCGTATACCGGGTCCCAGGTTCGGCATGACCGCCGCCATCAGCCGTTTGAGCTGGAAGATCCTGGATGGTGGACTTGACGAGGCTGGAAACCAGGAATGCTTGCACCCGAACGGTCAGAAAGGCAGCCCCTAAAAATTCTGCAGACCCCGGTAAGCCCAGAATCTCATAATTGCCGAGATCCTACTGCCAAGATCTATGGGGGTGGAGGGTTCAGGCAGGAGGCAGACTCCCAGCCCCGTCCACAGCCATGTATCTGATTTGCCCTTCGTCGTAAGTATACCCATAGGCCCCTAGGTAGTTCCTTTTTTGTGGTTTCCTATGAGGTAATCCCAAAAAGGAACTATTTAGGGGCCTATGGGTAGAAATGCATCTTTGAGCCCTGTCAGGCTTTCCGGCACCGCATGATACCGGCTCATAGAATTCTGCAGGGTCAACAGCAGCCCGAGTAGAGCTTTTCGACTCTTACCTGCACCATCCTGCACCCTACACCTACCCATAGGCTCCTAAGTTGCTTTTTGTGGTATATATTTTAGAACTCTATAAGGTAATCACAAAAAGGAACTACTAAGGAGCCGATAGGTAAAACCACGACTATCTGTTTGTTTCGCTTGTCCGAGTTGCGAGAGCGTAAGCCCTCTCAACAACCTCAGAACATGCTTTGAAATGCTAACTAAGACCCGAGACCCCAAACCATCTCAACCCCAAGCCCCAAACCCCAAAAACCAAACCGGCACAGGACGAGGAAGCAGACGCGTCGGTTCCGAGAAGCCGCCTCGCTCAGAGCTTGCCTATGCAGTTCTAAATCGCTAAACACTAAGCTTGTCGTCGCACCAGTAACACCGCCAGGCTTGGCCCAGTTGTGAGTGCTGAAACACCAAGCTGGTTTACCGAGCAGAGAACACATGCTCGCCTGAGCAGTCCGAGTGCAAGCACCGAATCTTGCACCGTAAAGCCGGAACATGTTCAGCGAAGGGTTGCGAGTGTTGAGGTGGCTTGTTTGGCTTATATGCTAGTTTAAGCTACCATTAGCAAGAACCTAGCTTGGATCCCTGGGTGGAGATGCTCCGTGATTCTTCTGAGACACCCCCGGACAGGATGGCAAGAGAAGACCCTGTTTTTTTTAAAGGGTCGGCAAGTCTAGGGTTTGGGTTTAGGGGTGAGTTTAAGTGGGTTTAGGGTTTAGGGTGTTAGGGTTTAGGGGCGAGTTTAAGTATTTCCAGGGAAGCGAGCAGGAGCGAACACCTGCCGCCAACAGTCCCTCTCGGAGTCCAGAGCACGACTTCAGGGGATTTCTGAATTCCAAGCACTGTTGGAGTCTCTGGTGACAAGGGGCTCGAATAGGCAATAGATTCAATACATCTTCATTGCAAGTTCGTGCACGCCATTCCGCATGAATGTTAACTCTAAAGCCATCCAAGCCCCAACAGCCCCTGAAGCTGCACCACTCTGCAGAACCCTTAGGGGAAATCCCTCGACACCCTCGCAAACCTTCTCTTTCAAACCTCTACACCCAGGTTGCAGGGTAAGCTCCTTGCAGCTGGCCTTGAGACGTTGCCGCCCGGGGCCCCAAAGAATCTTGCGGGCTTCTTTTCCGGCTGGGGGGGGGGGACGATTTTTGGAAAGACTTGCTGATCGACTTGACAGGTTTTTTCCAGGCTTTGACACTGTTTGGTGTCTTCTAGGGAAGTGCAGGGTGCGTGGGCTTTTTGGCAACTATTGGGCTTAGGCTGGATAGTGCGTTTCGATTTGGAAAGTGTTCGGGGGGATACTGTTGGAGGGATGCAGAATTCAGGGCATAGGGCCACTGGCGACGTTTCTGGAGCTCGGGGCATCTTCTGTACAGTTTTGGACAAGGTCGTCCCTTGCAGGGGTATCCAGTACCCGGCAGAGACCAGACAGATCCTTGGAGCTACCTTCTGTAAGGGCTTCCTGAGACAAAAATGTTCTGTCTATCTTCCAAGAGAAGACGACCCTGACAATTAAATCCTGCCCAAACCCCTAAGCCCCTGAGAATAGACCGCATAAGACCACCTGGATTGGCAAGGGCAAAACCACAAGACTTTTGCAGTCCAAGCACAAACAATGACACGAACTAGTGGGAAACCAGTGATGATGGGCGAGAATAGAACTGCATGAAAGTTGGCTCCGCAGCTTTGACAGAACCTACAGTAGATAAAGTCTCCCCATTGCTTGTTTGTGCTACAAAGGCCCGAAATTCATTTGTTGTACAGCTTATTGAGTCTGTGGCAAATGTTTCCTACACAACCTCTGAACCTTACAGACTCGCCCTAGACCCTAAACCCTAGATTTTCCTAGCAAAGCCCTATACCTAGCTCTGGACCCTACATCTAGGCGGAGCCTTGCCTGCCTTGTGCGCGAGTGAGACTCGAAATCCTCCTAAACCCTGATCCCCAAAACCCCTCCTCAATCCCTAATTAAACCCTAAACCCTATAAGCCCTAAGCCCGAGAGGGAAAAAACCCTAAACCCCTCAACCCCTAAACCCCTCAACCCCTAAACCCTAAACCCCTAGAGTGCATCCTTATTACAAGCAAACCTCGCGGAGACCTCCGAGGTTTCCGCCTCCTCTCTGGCGGGGGGTCTCCGGAGAGCTGCCTCCTTGCGAAGGCGGGGCATGGGCTTCTTAGGGTTTAGGGTTTAGGGCTTCTTTGGGGGGTACTTAGAAATGCTTCCCACGATTTTTTGGATTAATTAAAGTTAATTGTTTTATTCCCGTAAGAAGCAGCTGAAGTTAGCATTCTTGCACGGGTCCCAAGTTCAGTGAAGTTATGTTATGGGATTCTTAAACGGTTTCTGGGTTCCTTTATGAAGCGTTCTTTCGTGCAAGGGCTTAGAATTTGGGGTTCGGGGTCCGTTAATCATGGGATCTGTAGGATACTGTAAGGGTTTGGGGTTTGGGGTTCCTTTGTGGGATCTACAAGATGCGATAATGGGTCCTACAATGGGTTCCTAAAGGGTTTCGGGCTGGTGGGGTTTTCCCATTTAGAGTGTTGGAGTTTAGGGAAGGAGCTGAAGGCTTTTTCGGGCTGTGGGGCATCGTGGGGGCATAGCGGCTAGCGTTTATGACGGTTTCGTGTTTAGGGCTCTTTTGGACGGGGTAAACCTCTATTCTATTGATTCTATTGGGTCATCACTTTTCGGGTAGCCCTAAGCCCTAAGCCCTAAACCCTAAACCCTAAACAGCGCTGTAGGGTTTAGAGTTTAGGCTTTGGAGTTTAGGGCTTCGGGGCTTCCCGGATTTAGGCCCAGGCTTAGGGTTGAGGTTCATGGCTGGGGCTGAGAGTAAAGTTGAGGGCCTCCGGGATGGAGAGAGAGAGAGAGAGAGAGAGGATATATATATATATATACATATGTATATATACATATATATACACACACATATATATATATATATCGATCGAGAGAGAGAGAGAGAGAGAGAGACAGAGAGAGAGAGAGAAAGGTTAACGGCATTCCTGAACCAGAAGTGTCGTGGGCAAGATGTTGGATGTGTCAGAGCTGTCGAAAGATTTCGTGGGTCAGGTTTATGTGTACGATTATGTACGGTGTTCGGTTACTCATTTTTTATGTGCACTGGGTCGCTCAATCGTGAGGACTAAAGCCCGAACTCCCTGAGCCCTAAACCCTAGCAAACCAGCTATCTCAGTGGGGCTTCGGATGTGTGCCAGAATAGTTTGCGATACGCGGCTTTGTAGGGTTAGGGTGCTTAGGGCTTAGGGCGTTAGGTTTTGGGGGTTTAGCGTTACGGGGCTTACAACTGTATGTCATTATTTTGCCATCGTGAGCCTTTAGCAATTCCTGCGGTTTGCACCCTCTATTAGTACCATATTACCGCAATTCCTAAACCCTGAGCCAGGAATAGCAGAGTTTTACTTGCTGTTTGGGCCCAGGAGCTCAGTAGCAAGGCTGCGCACTCAGGATCGGTCTTCCGAGAGAGCCGAAAGATGAGGGCTCTATAGGAGGAGTTCTACAGGACCTTCGTATTTCGTACTAGACTCGGCCCGGGGGGGGACAGGAAAAAAAATTCTAGGGACCAGTGATACGGGGCCGGAGCAAAAAGGGGCCAGAACAAAACAAACAAACAACCCTAAACCCCAAACCCTAAACCGTGATTAAAGACTTGCCGTGCTTATCTACTGCCATGCGCATCGAGGACATTCGCTTGGAGACGGTGGTGGATGAGGCCAGGGCATATAGATGAAGATCTGAGAGGGGTGTCGACACAGACCCTGACTTACCAAGGTTTATCTTGGGTCCTGGTACAGGGAGGCAGATGTGATAGGATGGCATTCCGGCAAGGTGCTGCTGTATGCATGCACATCGAATATCGAATGCAGCAAAGCCTTCGATTGTCTTGCATTCGTCATATGCTTCGGTAACCCGACATGATAAAGGCAAGCGCTTTGTGTGTGTTTTCTCGTATGCTCCGCCTGGTACCGGTCTGC